CAAGAAGGAGAGACTGTATTCAAAAGGATCCCTGCAGGGGGGCTGGAAGGGACAAGGCACACACGGAGAGGCTCTCGCTGTGGGGTCTGCTCTTGTCTCCAAGGTCAGCATCTCTCCTTTTCTGGGGAGAAAGGGCAGGTAAAGGGAGGAGGGGATGGAGACCAGGAGAGATGCTCTTCCCGGGGGTGGGGGAGGGTGGGGGTCTGTCTGCTGTGGACTCAGGCTCGGCGTGTAGAGTTTGAGCCCTGAGGAAGGAGAGGAGCTGGAACAAAGTCTGGCTCACATGCTATTTGTGCTGATTCATCAGGAGTAGACGTGTGGGAGATGCAATTTCTTAAGCCACATCTCCAGGTGTGCGTGGCCTCGTCCTAGGTAAACAGGCAGAGAGGGGGGAGTCTGTGAGCCTCACCCAAGTCTCACGGGAGGGGGATCTTTGCAGAATGTAAAAATGGGGGAGACGTCTTGACCTTTGCTGTTTTCTGGGGCTCAGGTGAAGTTCCACATTGTCCACACTGACCCGGCACATAGCAAGTGTTCAGTTTACTATTGCTGCTGCTGATAGAACTGGGGCAATGACCCCAGCTGGTGGCGTGGGAGTCGTAAACACGCAGCACTTTAAACCATCTCATGCGTGACAGGTGTTTATATAACTACTGAGCCCTCAAATGGATTTAGACATGGGGAGAGATGGGAGAGAAAACCAGAGAGAGGGAAGCCTCCTTCACAAGCTGAAATCCTGCAGGCCTGTAGTCTTTCATAAGCTGTTTTCCCAGATATTTCTAAAAGTGGGAAATTTGTACCAAATACCAAGTCAGAAAGCTTGTCCTCTGGATATCACACGGCTCCTCGCTCTCTGGCTTCTTGCAAACATCTGGCTATTAACCTTTCTGGTGTGGGGAAATGTTTACCATATTTTTATATTAGATGCTAAGATGAGAATGCTGATGCCACAGAGGACAGCCCATTTTAAATGAAGCACAACTCTCCTCACAGTCAAGGCTTTCCAAAGCACTTAAAGTGATTTCAAAGGCTTCTGCTGAAAAAGGCATGACTGTGTTTTTCTGTCTCTCTCTCTGTGTGTCCTGAGGAAGTAGAGAGCTTTTGTAATTTAGCAGAATTATGTAATTGTTTGGAAAGACATTTCTCTCAGCCTGGATTCTGAAGAACTATTTATGAGTCCTTTTAGAGAAGCAGAGGTAGATTGTAAAATAATCTCTTTTAAAAAGATCGTGGCCACAGATACAGATGAAGTCATTTCTTTTAACTGACAACACTGTCTCCCCCCCACCCCCTTTGGTGTATTCATTTTTCCCAGAAATTCTGTTAGAGACTAAAGGAAGATTCTCTTAGAAACCACTTGCTGCATTTTGGAGGGGAGTTTATTCTGAGAGGTGGTTGGGATTTGATAGCCCTGGAGAATCACATTCTCAGCGACTTTTGATCCTTTTTTAGAGCTGACTCATTGAACACTTCCCGACAAAAATGCCTGAGTGCATACTTGACTCTGGTGCCCGCTGAAAAGCAGGTCTCCTAAGGCTTGCTCTGTTCCCTGCTGCCTCACACCCCCAGAAAGTACCTGGCCCAATTATGCAAATACTAACTTGTTAAATGAATAGATGAATGGTTAGACACTACTGAGGCAAAATAAAATGAACCTCACAGGAAAACAGGGGATAGCTCCAGACTTCTTGCTAGAGATTCACAGGTTGATTTTCCTTAATGGAAGTCAGGGGTCCTCAAACTTGACGGCACAAGCTTGACGCGCAGGGCTGTGTGCAAGACTGTCAAACACCCCAGGCTTGAGGGAAGTTTTTGGAGACTATTCTGATTATGCAAGATTTTGGTTTAAATACTAACTTTGGAACCTAAACCCTATGCAAGATGGATCTCCATTGCATCTTATTTGGAATGTAAATTCTTGATTTGCTTTAGTCAAAATCTGACTCATGGATCCCTTCAGAGAAGACTTACTTTCCCAGACCCCCCCAGTATTAAATAATAATGTGCTCCCTCATTTGGGGCAATCATGAAAATGTTCGGAAGGACCAAAATTCTACACACGTACATATATATATTTGATGCTTTTACTTTCGTTGTGCTCTCCAGGACTGTGTTTCACCTACCAAGAAGGAACATTCTAGGAGATTCAGATGGATACTCATACACTCTTTTACTCTGGGTTTTTAATTTAGAATCTGCAGGGTTTGAGGTACTAATCAATACAAAGAGCTGGCTGAGGACTCATATTACAAATGAGCATCTTGAAGAGAAAAGGTGAGCTGTGTCACAGGGGCCTTAAAGGCTAAATTAAAACCTGGTGGAAAATACTTTTCTCGGCATTAACAGGGATTTAGTGATTAATAAAATGAAGGGTACCTATAACCACTGCAGCATCTAAAACCAATTTATCTCCATGGCTGCTGCAACTGCAAGCTACTCCCTAAAATATGTGCTCATTCCTTCCTTCCAGGTCATAGATCCCTGATTTTCAGCTGGGCACGTGGCTGCTTGGAATAGCCTGCAGCTTTAAGCTTCCCTTGTAGGTGTGGCCCTGGAACGTAACCGGAGGTGGAAATAATCCTGCCTTCCATCTTCCTGCAGCCTGGAATTCAGGCATGATGGTGGAGCACGGGCAGCTACCTTACACCATGAGGTAGAGCTGGCTATACACTGAGCATGGAAGAAGTCTGGATTCCTGACTCTCTGGAACAGCACGCCTGCTTGATGGATCTCTTTATCTGAGAGGGGGGATAAAATGCATTTTTCTCTTGCTTAAGCCACTGTTTATTTTGGATGGTCTGTCCTTTGTAACCACATGTAATTTTAACCATAATCTCCCACTCTGCACCACTTTCAAGTTGATTCCTCTTACTGTTAGAAGTTTAAAACGCTTACGATGCTGACACAATGTAAGTAAAGTAAAATTACAAGTTTTGCAAAAAATGCAGGATTGGCTGAAATTGATGAAACCCACACTAGAGATGCTTGAGTCGTAGGCATGTGAGGCTCTGGTAGCTGGAAACCGGCTACTGAGTGAAGAAAAAAACCCAGAAAAAAACCCAGGAATGATGAGAGGACAAGAACTGCAAAAGAAAGCTTTGTTGTTGTTGAGACAGAGTCTCACCCTATGAGCCATGGCGTCATCATGGCTCACTGCAACCTCGACTCTGCTCCCTCCTGAGTCGCTGGGATTACAGATGTACGACATGATGCCCGGCTCGGCTGTTTTATTTTATGAAGATGGGGGTCTGCTCTTGCTCACACAAGTCTTGAACTCCTGAGCTCAAGCAATCTTCCTGTCCCAGCCTCCCACAGTGCTATGATTACAGGCGTGAGCCACCATGCAAATGTCAAAGGAAGAGAAGCTCTGGGAACAGCAGTGAGGTCCCGGCATATTGCTTTCTCATTTCTTATTTGTCGTGTAAAGTTTTTCTTGCCCTTATAATTTCTATTACAGCTGCATAAGACATAATGCGAGACACATTTAATGTATTTTCTTAATTTTGGAATTCATTTTTTTCAGTACAGAGTCAGAATCTAATCTTTTCTTAGCTTGTGCTTATTTTCCATGAAGTTCTGGTCCTTATTCAAATGGATTATGTAAGTCAGTAGCTGTCAATTTAGGACACCCAGTGGGTCACTGGGGGAGCTTCAAGCCTATGTCTACCCCTAGGAAACTGATGCAGCCAGTCTGAGACATCCCTGAGCATCCACATTTCTCAAAGCCAAGGCTGGGAGCCAGTTTTAAGTGGCCTTTTAGGTATCGGTTGGCTCTGGGTAGGGAGGTCTTCCCATATGATATTCTCATGTCAGGCCCAGGCCCTCTCAAACGATGGATCAGAGAGCAGAAGTGAGGGCGGGGAGTGGAGAGATGCAAAGAAAAAGGAGGAAGGAGGTGCCTGTAATCCTAGCGCTCCAGGAGGCTGAGGCAGGAGGATCACTTGAGCTCAGGAATTCGAGACCAGCTCAAGCAAGAGCGAGACACTATCTCTACGAAAAACTTATAAAAATGAGCTGGGTGTTGTGGTGGGAACATGCAGTTCCAGCTACTGGGGAGGCTGAGGCAGGAGGATCACTTGAACCCAGGAGTTTGAGGTTGCTGTTGCTTGGCCGAGGCCATGACACTCTAGCTTGGGACAATAGAGTGAGACTCTGTCTCAAAAGGAAAAAAAAAGCAAAAAGACAAGAGGGAGGGGAGGAAAAAGAAGACAATGGGGGGTGCTACATATAAAGGATGGTTAAGAAGAGGCTCCATGGCTGTGCAAAGTACTGACACCAAGGCCAACACAGGCACGGGGAGCATTGAAGCCTGGACACCTGCTGGCAGCACATTTACAAGATGTGTCCTGTAACTGTGTGAGAGGAGGAGCTTCCACAGAGACCGCCCAGCGTCACACCCTAGACCTCCTGTGTTGACAGGGCGCCCCATGGCCGAGGGGAGCCTGCAGAGTCTGCTTTTGTAAACGTGAAGGCGCATGAGGAACTTTTCAGACAGGAGAGGTGTTCTGACTCCTTCCCTTCTGTGAGACAGCAGGAAAGGAACAGAGGGTGAGAGTCAGGGAGGAGCTTCAAGTGTCAACTCCTCACTCCGGCTTTCAGCCTAGCGGCAGGGATGCCTGTCTGCCCTCCCGTACTGCGTTAATACAATCACGTTGTTCACGTGTTTTCACTCCATAGTTGAAGGTTATAGCTGCTTGGTTTTATCTGGAAATTTATTCTTTGAGCCCTTCAAACCTGCACATCAGCCAACTAAACCCACGCTCAAAACGTTTAAACATCCAGTGAACCAATTATGATACCGAAACTGTCTCGAACATTTAGAGAAAAGGCTTGATTTCATGTCTAAGCGCTGGTGTTAAAATAGAGATGGTGTTTTCTAACCCTCTTAATTAGATGCTCGAATCTCAGTGTTTCCTTCTAAGGTGTGTGTGTGTGGTGGGGGGGAGGGTCTGTACCTCACAGAGCACTGCTCGCAATGGGAATAAACAGTGGCTACCAAGGGGCGGCAGATGGGGACAGTCTTTATTAACTTAAGATCACACATTTCTGCCAAGTGCGTGAGGCATGTGCACATTTCCACACAAAGACATTAGCCGGTGACAGTGAGGTGCAATGATGGTCAGGTGTCTGTAAGGTCACCAACCAAGGAACAGAGTCGCGCTTCCAGATGATGGGGATTTTCTAAATAGCAGCGTCCCTGGACAGGATCTGAGATAATGCCGCACCTGTCGGTGCCTTCTCTTCAGGCAGCATTTGAATTCCAGATGCACATGGAGCCATCCTCTTAGGATTCCTCCCTCCCTAGGCCTAGATATAGAGCCATGACCTTGGGGCCCCTCAGAGGCAAAAAAAGTGGGGGCCATTGCTCAGCAGGGCTCCCCGTCTCACCAAGTCTGCTGTTTCCAAATACTGCCTTTCTGGAAAGTGCTTCTGTCTTGCTATTGAGGCAACAGAATGAAACATCACCTTACATGGTATGGAGCCCAAATCCACTGTTCTCATGCCCAAGGAATCAGAGCTTAAGTTGTCTAATTTGAGGCTGTTTCTTTTAAAATCAAGATGTAGTTTTGCCACTTTTTAAAAACACGTTGGTTATAAAGCGAAAAGTCCAAGATGTTCTAAAGTCTTAAGCACGGATGGCACTGGGGGCCATTCCTCCCTCACCTCCTCCTAAGAGAGGGTCTAGGAGTCCATATGCATTTAACCAAACACCCTCCTCCTCCTCGTGGGTCCCTGAGTGGTGTCACTTCCTCCCCCATCAGAGCTGACTGTTCGCTGCCTCACAAGAGGTAGGGAACAGGTCACTCCCTGTCTATTGTAACAAATGTCCATTGGCACATAAGGATTTTGGTTTTGGTGGAATTCTCTGAGCTTTTCATAGCCACCAAAGGATGGAAGACTGCTTTTAGGGAGGACTGGCTGCTCTGGCAGGCCACCATGCCAGTGACTGCTGGCCTGACCCCTGAGCTGACCTTGCTGTGTTGTCCGCAGCGTCCTACAGACCTGAGTCCTAGTCTTGCCATGGTCTGGGGGCTGGTGGCCTGTTTGACTCCCACTCCCAGTTCCTGATGCTGGAAGGAGAAGGGGGCCCACCTTGGATCCCAGCCTCAGTCCCCACCTTGTGGTCACTCAAGTATTTTCTGGGCTACAATGAGGTGGGCTCAATCCTACATGGTTTTCAGCATAAATTCCATCGAGAGATTAGCATTGCTCACAAGGGCAGGCTGGTGACACTGTAGGAAGCATACCTCATCTTTCCATTATACTCTGAAGAGCGAGACTGGCAGACATGAACTCACTCACAGCACTCTCTGGAGTTAAGAGATGCCTGGGGCCACCCTGTGCTCATCAGGGCCCCAAGTTCCTGGCAGAAATGCTACCAGGACTACACTCAGCTGACATTTCTGATTTTTGCTTTTGGTACTGGCAAGGATGGGTAGAGTCACTCAGAAGACTGGCCAGGAGGTCTGAACTGTGACTGCTTGAAATTAAGTCTCTGTGGTCTGTTCCAGAGTCCCAGAGCAGCTAATTAAATTCTCTCCTCAATCCCTGGGAGCCAGCCAGCCCTTCCTGCCCCCATCAACTCCTGCACCTCCTTCAGGATGACAGGCGAACACCTAGGTGGGGGCCAGAATGCACAGAAGGGCTGGGGATGAACTTGGTGCCCCTGGGGACTCACAGCCATTGCATCTATGATTCTGCTGAGACTGGTGTGATTTGCACTGGACCAGAGCCAAGCTGCCTGGACCCCATCCCTGGTGTTCACCCAGAGCTGTGCATCCCAGGCCAGGTACCAGAGGAGCTGTGGTCCGTCAGGCCTCCAGGCTTCCCTCGAACTTCCTGAGGAGGCGTTGGTAGGTGTCTCTCTCCACCTGCCACGAGTGGTGTGTTCTAATGTATTCCTTCCCGTTGGCCACAATTTCTCTTTCTAATGCAGGATCACTAACCAGTCTCTTTGCCAGCTGAACAAACTCCTGCAAAAGAAGAAAAAAAGAAGAAGACGGGGAAGAGAAATAGCTGTAAATAATTGCTGAAGGGGGCATTTGTGAGTGCATCTGAAAGCCCATGTCTGCATTAGCTCTGGATCCCCTCCTGGTCTGCCTCCCTGATCCTGGAGAAAATGACTTTTAGGAGAGGTGGGAATTAATGCAAACATGTGGAAGAAATAACAGATGTGTGTGTATACACAGACACTGGGATGAACATCCCTGGACAATCCCGGCACCATCAACCACGCTCCCCTCACCTGCCTCCCTAGATCGGCAAAACCCAATTCTCAGAGTCACAATTTCCTCCCTCTTTTATGAGCAGTGCCTGGATAGGAACTTGGGTCTTGCTCATACCATGCAATATGACCTGCCCCATTTGATTGTCATAGTATGTGTTCCATTGTCTCCCCTGGGCACACAGCATGCCTTCACATTATGGGTGGTGTCTGGGGTCATGAAAAGCACTAGACTTTGGGGGCAGATCTGTGTTCAAATCCTTCTGCACAACCTAACTCTAAGCAAGCTACTCAGCCTCTCTGAGCATCTCTCGCGTGCAGAAGACAATGGACAATTGATGGGTCAGCCCAGCCCAGCCCTGTCCCTACCCCATGCCTCCCTGTGTGAAGAAGGGAGGGACGAGAGTTAACAGCCCTGCTTTTCTTGGCTTTGCCTCTGTGACTTCTCTTCAGACCATATTTCTTCTCATGCTTCTTACTGACTAAAGCTCACAGACTTGGTACAGTAATGAAAGGGTGCGCCTGCTAGCCAGCTTTTAGTATAGAGCCTTTCAGAATTGGGGAAAAAACAAGAGTTATTTTGATTGTTAAAGAGTATTCAGAGAGAGGAGGGGAACATTCATTATTATTTTTTTTTGAGACAGAGTCTCACTATGTTGCCCTTGTTGGAGTGCCATGGTGTCACACCTCCAACTCTTGGGCTTAAGTGATTCTCTTGCCTCAGCCTCCCAAGTAGCTGGGACTACAGGCACCCACCACAATGCCCAGCTATTTTTTGGCTGTAGTTGTCATTGTTGTTTTTAGCAGGCCCAGGCTGGGTTTGAACCTGCCAGTCCCAGTGTATGTGGCTGGCACTCTAGCCACTCAGCTCAGGAACATTCATTATTAATTATGCTGGCATACAAGTCAAGAGCAGACTTTTTTCTTTTTTGAGACAGGGTCTCACTCTTTCTCTTAGGCTAGAGAGCTGTGGTGTCAGCCTAGCTCATTCAGCCTTGAACTCTTGGACTCACACTATCCTCCTGAGAAGCTGAGACTACAGGTATAAGCCACCTCGTCCAGCTATTTTCTTAATTCTTTGTAGAGACAGATTCTCACTATGTTGTTCTGTTGGTCTTGGACTCCTGGCCTCAAGCAATCCTCCTGCCTTAGCCTCCCAGAGTGATGGATGGAGTTAGTGCCGTGAGCTACCGCACTGGCCGAGGTTAGATTAGATTTATACCACTCCCACCACCCCCTGCTTTATGTGAGTGATGCTGAATAAATTTTGTAACCTCTCTGTGCCTATAACTTAACTATAAATTAGGGTTAATAACAATACCTGCTTCCTAGGGTGTTGAGAAGATACTGTCATGAGTTAATGCAAATAAAGAATTTAAGGAAAAGCCTAGAACATACTTAACTATCATCATCATTACCATTTCCCCAAAGAAGGCAACGATGCTTAAGTTAATATACAGTCCTTTGATGTTTAAAAGGAATGTTTGTGTATTCTCAACACTATTATTAATTAAACATTGAATGCCTTTTACAGCTGGCACTATAGATAGGAATGTTGATGATGGAGTTGAATTTTTGGTATAATTTGTGTATACTTTATAGTAAGTTAGTATTACTTTTACAATAAAATATAACACATTTATTCCCATCTCATAGCAGAACGACATTCTTATTAAAATTATCGGAGAGGCTTACAACTTGGGAATATTACTTTATGACGCTGGTCGTATCTTTGATTTATCTGAGGCAGAGACGCGGGGTGAAAGCCAACCCCACAGCTTATTATGTCTACAGATCTTAATGGCCATTCCACAATGAAATCCCAACTGAGAGGAGTTTCTAGGAAGCGGTTGTGATAAAATACACTTATTTTCTTCTCTCCCTCAGCATGGAAGCCTGAACAAAAACACAGACTTAAGTAAAGGGAGGGAGAGATGGGCTGGGAGTGAGCAGCATCTCAGCGGCTAGCTTCACAGAAACCCGGACAAATGGCAGAAGGGAAGGAGACCCAGCAAGAAAAGAAAGAGAAAATCTCTCTCTTAAACCACAAGAGTCACTTCCTGAGGCTCGGGGATTATTTTCTTCCGGACTAAAACCACTCCTCCACAGCTGCCACAGTGCTCTGCTGGACACGTGCATGTGGACACAGCCTCTGCTGGCTGCTTGCCAGGGTAGACAGCCTGCAAAGGTCGGCACGAGCATCCCCCGCCCTTATCTCTCTGCAGTGAGACTTTTTCACCCTCTCCACTCAGGCAGGTGATCTATTCCCCTCCCTGTGCATCTGGGCTGGTCCCATGACTTGCCTCGACCAATGTGTCAGAAGTGCTGCAGTCCAACTCCCAAGCCAGGCTGCAAAAGCCCTCAACAACTTCTGTACTTGCTTCCTTGGAGCCCTGGAGACCTCCTTGAGGATAAGAGGCCATGAGGACAGAGATACCCAGTGAGCGCCAGCACCAACACCATATGATAGGGTGGCACTTGTGAGGAACACCATCTCAGCGGGGCCCAGCCAGCCCCTAGCCAGCTGCCGGACAGCCCGAGGCCAGACCAGAGAAGAGCCCCCTGGCAGGCTCAGCTCCAACTGCTGAAGCAGAAAGTTGTGAGCTAAGAAAATGGGGTTAGTTTTAAGCCCCTGAGTTTTGGGACTATCTGCTACATAGCAGGACGGAACTAACACTCCTGTAGGCATTTGGCTTCTCCCTGCTCTTAGACAAGAGAACTCTGATGTCATGAGATTTTACCCCTTTACAACACCATCTAGGAAGAGGACCCTGTCACTAATGCCAGGAAGCAATCCTAACTGGTCCACAGTAACTGTGGAATTGAAGCAGATGCACTTGAGCTGAGCCCTAGAACCCTGCCTGGGACCTGAGTGTGGGTGGAACCTGCAACTAACAGGACATGGCAAAGGTCAAGGATCTGCCTGCCTTGACTGGCCCATGTGATGCAGGGGTCCACCTCGGCAGACAAGTGAGAGAGGGACTGCAGCCCTGCCTTGACTAGCCCGTGTGATGCAGGGGTCCATCTCGGCAGATAAGGAAGAGAGGGACTACAGCCCCGCCTTGACCAGTCTGTGTGATGCAGGGGTCCACCTCGGCAGACAGGGAAGAGAGGGCTTGCAGCCAGGTTTCTGGGCCCCAAGACAAGGAACTACAGACAGGCCCAACTTATGATGATTTGACTTCTGATGGTTGGACTTAGGATTTTTTAACTTTACTATGGTGGGAAAGTGAGGATCTTTCAGTGGACACTACTTCAAGTGCCCACACAATGACTCTATTTTTCATTTTTAGCTTCTAGTAAATTACACAAGATACTCAACACTGTATCATAAGCAGGCTTTGTGCTGAATGGTTCTGCCCAACTGTAGACTAAGCGGAATGTTTCGAGCACATCGAACCTCTGCTCCGCTATGGTGTTACGTGCACTTCTGACTAACTGTGGATTTACAGGGACGAGGCCCCATTGTATGTACTGTGGCATCTGTACCAACAGCTCGTAGGTGTTGACAGTGACCATGGCCAACAAACAATGTCAAAATGATACCCTTAGTCCTACAATTGCAAGAAGCTGAATTCCCCCAACAACTGTGCACTAGATTGAGAACACAGGCCAGTGGCACCTGGACCGCTGCATGGTGAGACATCAGAACCCGAGCAGACGACCCAGCCGAAACAGTGAATCACCAAAGGTATTGCTTTAAGCTGCTGAATTTGTGTGAATTTGATGCACAGCAATAGAAAACCAACACAGTGGTCCTTTTCTGCCAGTGCTTGGCCCAGTGATCAGCGTATGGCCAAGTTCTGACCATTGGTATAAGAGGAGGCGATCAGCTGAGGTCTTCTAGAAAAGGCTTCCTGTTCCAAGAAGAAGTCACCAGAAAAGGCTGCTCCATTAGCTTCTGAAGCTGTGCAGGTGGGAAGTGAAACTCTGATCCACTGTGGACAGTTTCTCACCCACCTCAGGATGAAGCCAGCAGCAGATACCCTTGAGGAAGAGACACACTGGGTCCTGACATGGTGTCAAGTGCTGTCCAGGGTTCTAGAATCTCACACCTGAAGCTTCATCAAATGGACTGAAGAATGCAGCCAGAGATGCTGCAAAGTGTCCCTGAAACAGGTACAAAAGGGGACTCATCCTCGCTGCAACCGCAGCTCCCCAGGTTTCATACAAGCCATCAGCTGCCCCACAGGCCAGAAAACGGACTGGCTGACTGTCAAACAGTCAACAGGAGGAGGCGAGTGTGCAGGCAGGACCTTGTATTGTAACATGATCTAGTCTTGAAAAGTATGAAAATAACTTAAAAGGCATCAAAGGGGGCACAATTATAAGAAAATAAAAGCCAAGGATGCAAATTCAACCACTTAGCAGAATTCAGAAACAAGTCTAGACTCTGTTCCAGATTAGCAAGAGGAAAATTAGATGCCTTTGAGGGCCAGGCAGGTAAAGGGAAAGGAACCAGGCCAAGCTGCGAGGGTACGAGGGGATGTGGGGCCTCTGCTGCTTTATGCCGGTTGCTGCATTTCCCCCCCCCTTTTTTTTTTCCCCCAGGGGAGTCTAGATTCTAGATATTTATGTAAAAGCACTCCATATTAAATACCAGCTAGGAATTCATAATTTTAATAACATAGCAAATTAAACAAAGCACCTGTGCAGAGCTGGTCTAGGCCCACGGCCACAGGTGTGCAAACCCTGGCTTAGGGAATCCATTTGTGAAGTTAAAAAAAAAAATCATGCAAAAGCACATGG